AAAGACTTTTATTCGAGCCGCTTCGAAGGTCCAAATTAAATTTATTCCTGCCGGCTCTTTCCTTTAAGGCTACCGTGCTGGGTTTTTTGGCCACAAGACCGTTTGCGAGGCCGTATGCGATTTTCTACAATAGACGAGACGGATTGAATGCTAAGTTAATTTATTCTAAGATAATTTTTTACAAAATAGTCATCCACTATTTATTAATTTAAATAAATTTATTTACAGGTTATCAAAATCAAACATTTTCATTGAAACATTACTCCTTTTACTGTAAAATATTCCAACACACGATTTCAGAACTATCTATTCCTTACCATTTTGAAAGTATGCACATCTTTTATGTAGCAAGGCCCTGCTCGTTTCGTGGCCGATCCACCATGGTGGTTTGCACCAGGATAAAAGAGCAATTAATCAATCAATTAATTAATCAATGAATTAATCAAATAATCAAATCAATCAATGTTGTGATCGCCAGTGGTCGTTTCGCTATACTCCTCATAAGCCTAGCGACGCCGTCGGCAAGCCGAGATGCCCCAAAGCGGTGGTCTTGTGGCTAAGGTACTCGGCTGCTGACCCGCAGGTCGCGGGTTCGAATCCCGGATGCGGCGGCTGCATTTCCGATGGAGGCGGAAATGTTGTAGCCCCGTGTGCTCAGATTTGGGTGCACGTTAAAGAACCCCAGGTGGTCTAAATTTCCCGAGCCCTCCACTACGGCGTCTCTCATAATCATACAGTGGTTCTGGGACGTTAAACCCCACATATCAATCAAGCAAGCCGAGATGGTTGCATCGGCGCGGATCCTGACTGCTTTGCCGGCTTCCCTGCATAAGCGCCACTGCCATGTTTGTGTTTGCGGACTCGTGCACCAGCACTTCGAACGCTGGTGCGGCTGACACGATCGAATGCCAGCTGATAATTCGTATTATCCGACTGTGTTGTCGAAGATTAGATGGATACATATTAAAATATCGGTGCGCTTCGGGTGATCACGCCACGCACCTAATTATGAGACTTTAGACGGGCGTTTTGAAGTCACGCTAAATTGGTCACAATAAGCCACACGCTAGCATTTACAACACGTCAAAGCATTCACGATTCTACTTCGGCACCACCAACAAAAGGCTAGAATACAGAGTAAAAAAGGTCACAAGCGAAAACTACGCGGTCGGAAGTCATTTAAATTGCTCGCACTGTCTATATAAATCACAAAAACTATACAGCGTTTGTAGCAGCAGACGCCATTGCTGATCGAAAATGTCTAACACATGTTTTCATTTGAGTGCTTCAACACTGTATTTCATTTTACGTGTTTGCGTTCCCTTTCGATGACATACAGATGACCGAATGTCGACCATGAATCTCGTGACATTTGCAAGCCTGACGACAACGCTTCTCTGCTTGTCGTCTGCGACACCAGTGACAGTTAGGAAATATGAAGGCAAGTGTTTAAAACTATACGTCATGACACTATATTTATTTATTTATTTATTTATTTATTTATTTATTTATTTATTTATTTATTTACAGTACCTTACAGAGCCCTCGAGGGGATTGTGTAAGGGGGGCGGTACAGATAATATGTTAGCAAAATATATATACATAATATCTACACATACATGGGCAAATAATGAATATAATAGAAAATGCAGTTCAACTTATGAACATGTAAGCAAAATACATACTAGAAAAGTGAGTTACAGTATGTGAAGGTGAAATACAAAAAAAAACTATTATGACAGTAACTATACAATAGTGCAAAAACATCGGCAACAGTCCTATAAACACTGATGGTTACGAAGATGCGATAGAGCAGTTTTTGGTGCATAAGTATTCTTTAAGAGCATGATAGAACTTTGTGTGGTCTTGTTCTGACGCAAGATCATCTGGCAAATCATTCCACAAACGAATAGCTCGTGAAAGAGCCGACTGGTTAAAAGCGTTAGTATTGCCGTACATGCGTGATAAGCTAAAGGTGTTGTTATGTAGTCTGCTCGAAGTTCGATGTGCTAGATTAAGGTGAACAGATGGCATCATGCTGGTGTGGATGAGTTTGTAAAATAGTGATAAAAGTGAGATGTCGCGGCGAACTTTCAGTGGCTCGAGTGCAAGGCTATCTGTGATCTTTAATCTGTGTTACGCTGGACGCGTAGCTGTGATTACGCGCTATGAATCGACTAGCTCTGTTCTGTATGCATTCTAACTTATCTATGAGGTATTGTTGATATGGTGACCAAATGGAGCCGTGGGCAAGATTTTTTTTTAGTAGTAGATTAATACACTTCGCGGCATTGGACACGTGCAGACATTATATGTGTATATCGTAGAAAAGGGGAATGTCCAATAGACGTCACCCTCGCCAATGATGTCTAGAGGGCGTTGTCTATACCACACCTTGCTCGTGGACGCCACTCGCTCCGGGATGCCTTTGTTTGAGCCGTTGGTGCGTCAAAACGCAGCTTGAAACTAAGTACTCTTGGAGCCTATTCTGTAAGCATTCTATCCAGAACGGGCGAGGGATCAAACAAAAGGACGAGAGGAAGAAAAAACCACTAATCGAGCTGAGGGTATTCACGAATTCTTTCAACGCTTGAAGAAATATGAAATTCATAAAGCTAGACCTTAATGTTGGCCGGTATTGTTTTTCAGAGCTTGAGATTGCCGAGCGGGATGACTTTAACAATTCGTTTGTGTTAAGGTGTGTTAGTGGACGCGGTAGGTGGTGTCGCACTTTGATTAGTCGTCCGGTGGTGATTTACGGCGCGGGGTCGGGGTAAGCCAGGCGCAAAAAGGCTAATTTGATTATCCGGCCTCGAGTGCTTACGTTTCAATCTAATCTACGTCGTCCGGAGGCAATTTGTACCCTCTTCCATTGATACAACTGGGCCTGAGCCCATTCAAACGCCTCCTCGACCGTTCTATGCAGATTAGCTGGTTTTTTCTCAAGTCCTGACCGTCAGAATAGCCTCGACCAATGCCTTGTGACTCCATCTTTTTCTTCTCTTCGATTCCTTCCCCGTTCTGTGCTGGAACGCTTACCAAATTGGCCGTGAGGGCCACCACTGGAGAGGCCGGCGCTACGATCGTTTCGACGTCACAGATAGTAGTTGTGGAATACGGCAGCTTTGCTTTCGTGACACCGCTTGCATCGTCCCCCATGGCTGCACCGGTGCTTAGTCGCGATTTTACGACGCAAACTAGACACGAGAGTGTCACCGTGGGCACCGATTCGTAGTTTGTTTGCCCGTATTATCAGGTGTTACCGCTTCTTTAAGCACTGAGCTTCAAAACAAAGGGAAGAACGCACGGTGCACCACAGCAAAAGCGCAGACAATGCGAAGTTTCTAGCAGACAACACAACCCGGCATCCTATGAGTGACGTCATCACGTAGGTGGCGCCACGGTATGTCCTCGATGCCAAACACCATCGCTGCTGTCGAAGCCTTGCGTTCATGGAGAAGCCTTCAGCGTGTACGTACACATAACCGTAGAGTTTTCTAAATTTAACTAGAGGGGAGTGTGGCGCTGCGATCGTTCAGCGACCATGGGAATGATGGGTAGTACACACATTTGCCTACTCTTCGTACTTGCGGGCGGCGAATCGTACTTGCGGCTTCGTTTATTGCTGGTTACGATTTTGTTTTTTTTAAAAAAAGAACGAACCCTTTTGAACTTCGTGACCTGATTTAAAAAGGTAAGATTTAAGGAAATAAGGTAGTGAAGCACAACCGCTGAACATTTGCTGAATTTTTTGTTTCATGAGAAAACAGCTCCAAGCCACACGAACACACACGGAGCCAGAAGCATCCAGAAGTACGAATATTAGACAAATGTGTGTACTACCCATCATTCGCATGCTCGCTGAAGCACCGTGCGTTGCAGCTCCCGTAGACACTAGCGCCAGAATTACCTCTAGTGTATATTGGGAAACTCTATGCACATAAGATCTTCCGACGACTATATAAGGCATCACAGAAAGTCAAGCGCGCAAACACAGACACAATAGAAACTGAAAAAAAGACAACATGATGTTTGTGTTGTAGTGTTCTTATCTCTTTTGGTATTATCTTACATGTTTGGTACGTATTTCACTGTAGCGGTTTAGTAGTAATGAACTCAGAACAATTAAATGCAGAATAAAAGAAAAAAAAGTGTGTAGTCCTTCATTCTATTCTGTATTCCCAAGATACAAAAAAGAAAGGATGGACGAAATGCCAACAAGCGATATTAATGGCATGCACATACCCAACACTGGTACAACTGCCTCATCTGCATCGCAAACATGTGTTGCTCGACTCGAATAAAGCTGGGCCTCACTAATTATCTCTCTCTCTCTCTCTCTCTCTCTCTCTCTCTCTATATATATATATATATATATAAATGCCCGCTTACCAGCCTCTGCCACAATACGCGGCCCCCGTCCTTCTACGACGAATTGTTTACGGGACCCCGAGTAGTTAAAGGCTTAGGACTTCCTGAAAAGCTCTTTTTTGCCCCACACCGAACCGCCAGTGCCAGGAGGGGCCGCCTGATCGGGAGGAATGCGTTAGTGAACGGAAACATACACAGACCGCTGACATCAGAAAGGTGAAGGGGAGAGGGGGGAGAGAGAAGATGAGGGGGGAAGTGGAAGGAAGAGTGGAAAGGGGCACCCGAGGGGCGTCCACCGTATATTATTTTTCTCTTTTTTCTTTTTTTTCTGTCCTTTTTTTTTCCCTCTTTCCTTGCCCTCTGATTTGAGATTGTATAAAGCTGAGCACCAACAAACTGTATCTTTAATCCTGATGAAGGCCAGACTCTAGGCCGAAACGTCGAAATAAACCACGTTGTGACCGCTCACGGAGGATCTACTGGACTATATATATATATATATATATATATATATATATATATATATATATATATATATATATATATAGTCAAATTAGGCAACGATAATACACTCACTGAAAAGATTTCTAACGTCATGCTTAACTTTTTACCCTTTTCTCTCTAGGGAACTACAGCGTCTGTTGTGAACAAGTCTGCTATGAGCGAGGTAACGTACTTATCCCTTGATCGTCCGTACGGTTCCCTTCAGTGTTGGATTGATACAATGATAATCGCCCTTATCACTTGAAAGGACACTAAAAGGTACATTGTTTCCGCTGTATAAGCAAATAATGAGCCTTTCAGAAGAACGACAGCGCTACCCCAGCTCGACAAGGGTCTTGCTACGCCAAGCAAAGGCGCAATAGGCAAATGCAAGAGTGCCGAAGCCGGCTGCCATATCACGAAGTAGCTCCTATTCACGTCACCGATGTCGCTGCTAAACCACTTTCCTCGGGAAAAAATTAACACCGCAATGACAGTGTGCTTCAAAGGCATTGAAGATTGTAAATGGACAAGAGAGAAGAAAGAATCAAAACAAAGGAAAGACGAGCAGGTTGAATCCGGCTTGCCACCCTGAACGGTAAAGGGGGAAAGGGGAGGAAAAGAATAGATCACGCAAGAGAGGTAGACACGCATACAGACGATAACACGCATAGCAGCGTGTACTGCGCATGCGCAGAATTCCTTATGCGTCAACATGCTCTAAACATACACAGGAAAAAAATCTAAACGTATGACGTCACACAGTATTCGTATCACATCTGCTACATTCGCGTGATTTGCGAAAACTAGTTCGAAGAGACTAGACGAAACAGGCGGCATTTCCCTTGCCTTTTCACACTGCTCTTCGTATGGAATAAGTGTTGACAAGAAGCTCTATTTCTGGCTATCTTGCAGTTTCTTTCAGCGAGAACTCGACCCAATTGAACGTTCATCTCGATTTTTCCTTGAGCAATGAACAAGCTAATACGAACAAATTACAATATTACAAATTACAAATTACCTGTGTTTTCACCTCTAGCGTATACCTTGAAATGACAAAAAAAAAGAAAGAAAAACGAGATCATATTATATGCGTCTTACTCATGCAAGCGGGTAAGACGAAGACAGCTATAGGATATGGCGTGTGAGAGCGGCGATTCTAACAGAAACAATCGCGCCTGTATTTCCTTCCAGCAAAGATGATCAACGAGTCACTGAACACGTCGGTTGATCCTTGCGATGATTTCTACCAATACGCCTGCGGTGGATGGATAGACAAGCATCGAATACCAGAGTCGAAATCGAGTATTGGGAGCTTCACCCTGCTTGACGAAGAGCTGAAAGAAACTTTAAAACGTAAGGCATATGTAGTGTCTCATTGAACCTCTTTCTCTCAGCGCTAAACTCATCATGAGTGGGTGAAGTTAAGTGGGCACAACATGGTTAAAATGATGTCAATTACACTCAAACTTCATTATAACAAAGTTGCATGAAACGCAAAAATAGGTTCTTTATGTCCTAAAATGTGTTTAAAGGCATATATTTAACTATTATATATACCGCAAGACTTTTTTTATTTACTTCGTTATAATCAAAATTTTTATATATGTACATGCCTAACCATTATATTTACTGCATGACTATTTTCCATTTACTTCGTTATAACCAATATTTCGTTAAATCTTGTTTCGTTATATGAAGGTTTGAGTGTACACGCTACAACGGTTTCGTTTGCATTGTACACTTCATATAAAGTATACGTGATTCTTAATATTTATTCTATGTCTCTCCCTAGTCACAGGTCGTTAAGCCCTGAGCACTGCTCAATTTAGTTTAAATCAGACCGGCGCTTATCATGAACAGCCCAAATTGAATCCAGTGGCCTTTCAGTTGAAGAATCGGTAATGTCACCTGCCAGCCAAGAACTTCGGGACTTACTGCTGTGTGTGTTGAGGCGCTAGACTTGCATTATCGCTGCTTCATTTTAGCGAAAGTAAAGCGGGCCCGAATGAACGCGGCAAATACGAACAACTCGTATACCACTCTAGACATCTTCAACAGTCAATTCGCTTACCGTTCAATACTTGCGAACAGCCACAGTTTCCCGACCATGTTCGCGTCATCACGTTACAAAGACGCTGAGAAAGTCATACCCATTGTGCTACTACACCGAAATCGCGCTTGCACCAGCCGCTTGAAAAAAAAAAAAAACTACAACTAAACGCACCGTTTTATAACAAATGTGTCCGAAATAACGAAATCCGCAGTTTGGTATGATAAACTGCGCAAGCGTATATTTGGTCAGGCATTAGCAAACCCTCTATGGCATGGCGTCTTATGTTTGGGACATATAATATTTTTTTTTTATTGAAGGCTCAAAATACCCAGTTGAGTGGCACTGCCAGATGCCAGAGTTGTTCCCATAGTTATAAAAAGAAAAATGCTGCCTCCATAAAAGAAAAAAAAATGCTGCCGTTCTTGGAGAAAACAGACGTAAAATAGATCTCACAGCTCTCGTGCAAGTTCGCAGTGCGTATAACAGCGATTGCTTTTTTTTTTCTTGTCACAAATTTTTTTTGAGCTGCAGAGGCATGCAGAAATTATCTATTGGCATATCTCGTGGCCTTAAAGGGCCAGTCAGCAGGCTCCGAAACGCGCAGGGTAAGCTCGCGCACTTTTCCTGCGCGTGACCAACCTCCTTCAACGCGCAGTGACGTCAACTCGGCGATCGGCGACGCAACGTAGCACGCAGCTTGTCGATTGGTCTAAACCAGGTATCAATAAAGAGTAACTTATAGTCAACGTCACCGATGGCCGAGTTGACGTCACTGAGTGTGGAAGAAGGTTGGTAAGACGTACGAAAGATGCGCGAGCTTTTCCTGCGCGTTCCGGAGCCTGTTGATTGGCCCTTTAAAAATGTATATGCTCGGTATTACTTTTTCACGTCTCCATTTGCCGCTAGGATAGCCCCGCCGCGGTGGTCTAGTGGCTAAGGTACTCGGCTGCTGACCCGCAGGTCGCGGGTTCGATTCCCGGCTCCGGCGGCTGCATTTCCGATGGAGGCGGAAATGTTGTAGGCCCGTGTACTCAGATTTGGGTGCACGTTAAAGAACCCCAGGTGGTCAAAATTTCCGGAGCCTTCCACTACGGCGTCTCTCATAATCAAATGGTGGTTTTGGGACATTAAACCCCACAAATCAATCAATCAATGCCACTAGGATACACAGCCGGAAATCGGTATGTGTTTTATTTGGCGATGTGTGCTTTGCAGTGAAGAAATTTGCAATTTGCCGCCACCTATTTTGCTCTGCAGAATATAAATTTAGACAGAGCCCAACTAATAATGCCATGCAGCACTTGTGCTGCAGCGGTAGCCTTTGAAATTCTTCAGGAAATTCTGAGGTGCCAGCAACAGAACCTGGTAATATTTCGATAAATAATTGATACGCTTACATGCAAAATTCACGTGAAATCCGATCAATTCGAATATATGCCTAGATTTTTCGGGTTGCCTTCGCAACTTATGGCTCTCAAACGGAAGTCAGCCATTGGTAATTTTGGCAGGAAAGCAAAGCGGGGCACCACAATGAAAGCAGGCGAAAGCCTAAGCAGCCATTTCGCACATAGGACTCGGTGGTCAGATACACCAAGACAAATGTTCATTTATGGCTGAAGGTACGAAACGATCATGCACTTTTGCTTTGCTCCACACGTCTCCCTCAGAATACCTCAATCGGTCAGAATTTTTTTTTAATCACGACGGCAACATCGTGGGGCGTGCCACGTTTGGCCGAAACCTTTATTTTGATTAATGCCGTCACAATAAGTCTGTAAATTTTCTTCCGTGTTTTTCTTCGTATAATTTGCGATAAAAGCCGAGAAAGTAACTTTCAAATAGGTTTCTTACAACGCATGCCATTGAGGGTTAAAAGCAAAACGTACTAGTGACATGGCCAAGTGAAGCGATGGTATTTGCAAAGAAGTTAACGAATAGGTTATCATATACTTACGCTCTTTCACTCCGGAATCTTATGAAGAAATACGGCGTGCTTATTCATTAAAGTCGCAGGCGATGTGTGAGAAAACTCCGACATTACCTTCAAGAGGCTCTACGCAGTTGCAAAGCACAACGCTTTATAACGGGAACTCTCCAACAGAAAAAAAAGTGGCCATTGAAAATTTATACGACGAATTCCTATAAACATATCGCGAGTACTTGTTACTTAAGAAAGAATGAAGTGTTTGCTTTGTACCGATCCCAACTGTATACATAGCAGCAAGATAAAACACGCTGACGAAAAGAAAAGGCGTCAGAACAAACATGTACTATATTAACTGGGAATTTTCTTTACAGATATATTAGGAAACATCACACTAAAAGAGAAGGCCCAGAATATAACGAACAAGCTTGCAGCTGCCTACAATGCCTGCCTGGGTACGTAGGATGTTAATGCTGGTGAGATTAAACGCGTCAGTGTTTTCTGTATGCATTTCACTGTCTCATAAAAAATACACAAAAAAATATTAATCGAACCCACCTAAACATGCCCCTTCAAACTAGGCATTTTGCAGCAAACCTTGGATTGCGAACTGTGAGTACGGTTTGCCAGTCTGTTTTAGGCGCCTCCACAGCGAATTTGACATGCACACTTTTCTTCATGATTACATCATTAAAAACATTGACAAACGAACCATTCACTTATGAGACAACGAAAATTGATATGATTACGAGCATAGTTAATGCTTATACGCACATTGGCGCCTTTTTTTTTTATGTCCAGTAACGGAATACTGCCTTGCGGAAAATCTTAGTGACCTGACTTAATGCAGTTTTTTTTTTATCTCCATTTCACATCTCGATAACATCTCGATTTCGTAGAGGTTCCCAAAAGAGAAGACCAACTTCAAGCTCTGCACAGCCTAATGAATAAATCTGGATTTGGTGAGTGGCCGAAAACGTGCATTGAAGACCACGTGATATCCACCGACAAAAACTGCACCGACGTATTCACGAATTTACCAATATTTACCTTATTCGGAATGTCGGTCGATCGAGATCTCACGAAGCTCACTACATACGTGATTCAGGTAAGAAGTGTTTCGCTAGAAACCTGTAGAAGGTGCAATGACAGTGGCATTTATATCAGTGCAATTCATGAGCATAGGAAGACTCACTCAACGCCGCAAACGCAACGAACAAGGATAGGACGAAAACTTGTCTATTCGTTCTAATATCACCTCATCATATCTACGTGCACCCAACTAAACGAACCAGTGAACACTTAATAACGTTCTATACCTAAATGCAAAGCACGAGTGGAAATTACGAAGAAAAATATTATCGAACACGAGATGAAAATTTAAAAATGTCAACGTATCTAGTTACAGAAACGTTTCATGTCGTCTTAGCACGCCTAAATGGCGCATACTTACCTAAACATTTTAACATTTTAAATTCCTTAATACACAAAGCATCAAGAAGGCAAAAACAAAACACCCTGCCTTGTTTAAGTCAGTGCCACGGACGGTCAAAAAAATAACACGCCAAGGTTGACTCAAACAAGTAACGTAGGCATGATCTCAGCTGGAGAGCTTATCTCGACGTCTGAACCACCTTAAGCAGCATCATGATCAGCGGGCCCAAATATGGCACTCGAGTAACCAATATTAAACTTTCGAATTCCTAGTTCGCGTTTTGTCTTCTTCGCTAGGTAAAAACTAGAGCTTTTATTACCTATAGCGTAATGCCAAAGGTGACTGAATTAATAGGTAGAGCAACCCCACAATAAATAGACGATTACCACTGGCCCGATATGTAGTCTGGTGCCAGCAGTCAGCGTACGATGAGTGTCCAAGCTAAACCCTTCCGTAGTGCCTTTGATGTACATATTAGTTATGTACCACCGTTGCCGCGGCGCAACTTGCACAAACGCCTTGCGCAAATGATTTCAATAACTGGTATCATATCTTGGCATATCATTATTATTCAAGTTCCGATTTCCATTTATATCTGCCATTGGCCTGGCACGAAGCACGGTGGTTGCATTGAAACAAGATATACACGGTTCTCTGTTTTCTTTAGGTGTATTCATTTGCAAGAGCAGTATATAATTAAAAAATAATAAGTGACGTGTTATTCACATCAGCACTCTAAGCCTTCTAGACTTTAAAAATGTCTGACCTTAACGTAGCTCATGGGAAAATTGTTTAATAAGTTTGTTTATATATAAAACATTTACAGATACTAAACTCTCGAGCGGTATCAAGCTACAAAAACATGGAGCACGATGCAATACTTGTCAGCATTGCAATATTAAGCTACATTGCGAGCATTCTTTAAAAGTATTAGACACAATTGCAATTTTAGTCTACCCAGCTTGGGCAAGTAGCATGCAAATAGACTTCCTAACTTGAAACAATGTCTGAAATTTTCATTTTTGCGACTATGAAAAAGTAGGGTTACGCATGTGAAGTAAACCAACCGTCATGTATTTCAGCTGGATCAGCTAAGTTTTTCGACGGTGGGCAGGAATCAGCTCATCCATCCAAACGAAACAAGGAACGCAAATATAACGAAGGCTTACAAGGAACTCATTAAGACGGCGCTGAAAATCATGAAACCAAATATTACTGAGGACGAACAAGCGTCGCTCGCTAACAAGATTTTCGATTTCGAAGGACAGTTGGCCAACGTAAGAGACAATTTTCGTATCTTGTGTCTCACGGAAGTGACGTTGAAAAGGGTTTAACAAAAGAAATGCATCAATCATTTTACCCATCCGGGGTCATATAAAATGTCGAATTGAATCGTTCTTGTTAACAAAGACAGGTATAGGAGTGATGGAAGCGACTTTTTGTTTTTTGGAGCACACTTTGGAGCAGGAAAAACACTGCTTTGGAGCAGCCGTAAGTGTTTTTTGGGGCGGAAAGAAACGGCAGTTAAGGCAGATATCGGTGCTTTAGGAGCACATATAAAATTTGCCGTACGTTAATTGGAGTTCATAGCATTGTTGAAGCATCATTTACAAATATTATTATTTCTCATGAAATATATTTAGGGCAACAATGTAAATTTCAGGCTGTCAAAAATGTGCTGTGTCATCAGCTACAATTTACGATTCTAGAATTTGTGGAAGTAACTACAGTCTCAAATAAACGTTGCCGAATAAGCGGTGTACATAATCGGCATGAGATAAAAGCAACGCTGCCCATTTTCATCATACTAGCCTGCATATGTCTAACTGAAAAAAAAATAAAGAAAAAGCCACGTGAGCCATATGCTTAATATGCCAGAACTTTTGCACAAATGAAATTGAAGTCGATAATGCTGCACACTAGTTGCACACTGGGATAATAGTACACAGATTTTATATTTCTTTAGGACTTTTGAGTCAATCAAATAGTAAAAATTCATCATTCTCATTATCCCAATGTCATTTCGGATGAGGTTTGGAGCAATTACTAACAAAAATTACTGTTTGGAGCAGCATGAAGCGGCTTTTTTTTTTTTTTTGAGCGGTTTGGAGCAATTAGAGCAGCACTTTTATCACTGGTATAGGAGCGCGCAGTGTTGCCCTGCAAGGGAACGAACGCTAATCGAAGCGCCCCTACCTATTAGGCCAATACATTGGGCAAACTTTGCACCCGGCTCCTTCCTCATAGGTACCCCTCCCCCCCCCCTCGCCAAACCGCCATGGTCACCGCTATGAAGACAGGAATATAAAGTCAAGGTCATACACGCCGCCCGAGTATAGTTACATCTCATTCGCTCATCTGCAGCACTGTTAAAGTGGAAGGCTGAACAAAGAGTCGAATTGGCGACTTCATTGAGAAAGGCCTTCTTTCTATGGTGGACATCAGACAGGCTACTCACTGCTGCTGGCGATGATTTGACGTTACCAACCACCGGATTGACGACGACGTCATAGTGGTGGGTTCCAGTTTACGACTTCCCGAGACTCTCATGAAATGCAACATAGAAATGTGTTGTGAATACAGCGTGGAAAGAGATGAGCACCACCACATTTCTACACCTGTAGAGGCGTGGCTCGACCAATAGTAAAAGGAAGTAAACACGTATGGTTAAGGCATCAATGAAGGCTGATCCAATGATTTATATATGGTTGCCCTTGCAGTGAGAGGCCTTAGTTACATATCTGAAAGATTACTCTCTGTCGCTCTTTCTCTCTCTCTCATATATATATATATATATATATATATATATATATATATATATATATATATATATATATATATATATATATATATATATATATATATATATATATATATATATATATATATATATATATATATATATATATATATATATGAGAGAGAGAAAGAGAGAGACAGAGAGTAATCTTTCAGATATGTAACTAAGGCCTCTCGCTGCTCGCTGCAAGGGCAACGATTTTTTCGCGTCAGTGTTTGTACGCTGCCCAAAACTGCAATTACTGATGTTCTGTTTTACTTTTCAGGTTTCTCGCCCTTGAAATTACGTTTTTTTTTGTATTGCGAGTGTTGCATTGTTAGTTTTCGCTGTTTACAGTTGACGGCACCTCCGGAAGAGCGGCGAAACATACTCGCACTTTATCACAGAACTAACATCAGTGAACTCGAAAAAAACTTCTCTAATGTGAGTATGAACCACTGCGCCTCTTGCGAGGACCAGTTTGTTTGCGTATAGAAAATCTGCTCATATACTCGGCATACCGTTTTAATGTAGGATTACAGCCAGACACCTGGTTCCATTCAGGTATCCTTATAAATGAATTCACTCGCCTCTGTTTTTGTAAGTGTAAAACTATAATGAAGACTCAGATTTAAACGTGCAATTATGGGAGCAAGAACGTTAACTAGAAGTTTTTCTCTCAAAAGTATGCGATATCTATATGCGTCTTGATGTCCGTTCGGTCAGTCTCGTTCATACATTCGTCCACCCGTCCGTCCGTCCGTCCGTCCGTCCGCTTGCCCGTCCGTCCATCCGTCCGTCCGTCTGTGTGGCTGTCTCTCTGTCTGTCTGTCTGTCTGTCTGTCTGTCTGTCTGTCTGTCTGTCTCTCTGTCTGTCTGTCTGTCTGTCTGTCTGTCTGTCTGTCTGTCTCACTCACCTACTGCAGCAAGACTTTCCAGAATCCCTGAAGTACGAGCGGAGTTACAGATACTAGCTGTGCGCTTTAAGCACTGTCTGGCTCACTTCGTACCTTCGAGCGCGCTAAAGGTTACGCGGGGAGGGTGATGACAAGGGGGCAAGAAGATGCGCTCTTTCGTCATAGGACGTCTTGATGCGGAGAACTTTTTTTAAAGACGATAGTCTTTCTTGGGGACCTTCAACGGAAAAATTTTGGTCTGTCTGTCTGTCCAGTTGTCTGTTTGTCCGCCCTAACGAAACCTCAAACGGCACCAAACGGCCAACCCCATCTGCAGCGCCCACCAATAATACTCAAGGTTTAGCGTTGATAGTTGTGCGATTGTCGATTAAAAAACAATTATTGCGCATATCTGAGGCGCCATAACAACATGTCTAGGTTTTGTATGTCTGCCTTCATACTAGAAGAGGCACACACAAGTAACTCTAAGGACTGTAGCGTTTAACGCGCTGCGCTGACAGTGCAACGCGATGCTCAAGAAGGTGTTTCCAACGCTTTGTTACGGCGGTACGGTGGTGGCACCTGCCCGTCGCTTTGAATTCTACACCTTATCATCTCCGAGACTGGCGCGCATCTTTCTCCGCAGTCACGCACGCCTTCGTTTTCGAAGATAACTGCCAGATGACGCTCGTGTCTAACGTGCCTAGATGTGCTTGTTCGCCTCCGGTAAACGCTCTAGGCATTCTAACGCAGCGCCTTTAGAATACCATTCACCGATTTTCTTGCGCAGAACATCAAATAAACGTTTTGTTCACTCTCTCCAGACGCAAGACTATCGTCTTTCGACGACATTTACAGTGTAACATGTAGATTCGGGCCAATTTTTTGTTTTTGTTTTCATTTAGCGTCCCTCTAGCTTTCAGTGATCCTGAGCGCGCGCATGGGGGCAGGTGGCGGCATCCAGCGGTGGCCAAAGTAACTATGTAGCTCACGATGCTGAAATCAGCCAACGGCCGAGAACTTGGGTATATGGCACTGTATTTAGGGTACATATAATCATTTAGATCGCGTGTCTTCAAGGGCCTTGATTACTGATCACAGCGGTTTCTGAGGATGCTAAAAAGCTGTTGCAGGGCCTCTTTGACGTTGCTCGAACGCTGCGCGCTCGCCTTCATTGCTTTACTGAACAAATGCGGACAGGATGTGTCTTGAACAGCAACAAAACACAGCGGCAATTTCAACTTCCGGGTTCTGGCTCTTTAGCAGATTATTATTTAGCCTAGTCAATAAGTCCACAAATAATATAAATGCAGGTCCATGTTCTGGAGTTCAGTCATGTTCTGATTCAGCTTTGAGTGAACACACTGGTAGCTTAACCGGTCAGGCGCCAAGAACACTCCGCTTGATTAACGTGCAACCTGAGAACGCAACGCTAGGAAGACAGCACGCACAAAGGTTGCTGATGAGTCTCAAGATAGGGCGCGTGCAACTGCTCCATGTAGTTCCAGGTACGCACTCCTTGAAGCCATTGCCACCTCCCCACCCTACACATCCTGTCGTGAGCCATTCACGCGATGGAAGACGGTGGGTGCGTTAGCTCTCCGCTTGGGCAGTGATCGTGGCTGTAACTCGCCGCCATTCACTCTCACGCTTTCAGTCGCACATTAAACAAAGAATAAGTGGGGCAACCCGCTGGTCATTAAGGGTAACTAACTGGATTCCCAGAGAAGGGAAGCGGGTAAGGGGGAGACAGAAGGTTAGGTGGGCAGATGAGATTAAGAAGTTTGCGGGTATAAATTGGCAGCAGCAAGCACAGGACCGGGTTAACTGGCGGAACATGGGAGAGGCCTTTGTCCTGCAGTGGACGTAGTCAGGCTGATGATGATGATGATGATGAAGTGGGGCGACGTTATCGCCCTTTAAGTACGGCAAAATGCACCCTGTGTGTCCACATATTTGTTATCACAAAATAAAAAAGACAAGGCAACTCAGCTATCCCCCCCCCCCCCCCCCCCCAATCAGCCTCTCATGCAGAGTCGGCGCTTTCCTTCAACGAAACGGGGAGTTTACAAACTCTGATCTCAAACACTTTCGGAAGAGGCGTGGAAAACTTGTGATGTCGTCACGGTTGTACGCGTCCACACGCTTACGGAAAATTCTCGTAGAAGTGCGTCCAAATATTTACAGCTGGTAACACAGGTGGGAAGAAATTACGATATCGAGGAGTCATAATAAAAGACGTTAACTCCGCGATAACAGCTAACACTGATTCACAAAAAGAAACTATGCTTCCACCGCGTTGAGATCTCGGTATTTTAACGAACACATTCTGCCAGTTGCGAAAATTCTAAGAGATGTATATTAATACTGAGCTTTAGAAGGTACAGATCTAATGGGTTCTTTTCTTCCCAGGTGCCGCTGTTAAAGTTGCTTAACAAGCAGTTCGCATATGTAAATATCACATTGAACGAAAGTGAAACAATAGAACTTTTTGCTGAGGAATACTACAATAAACTCAACGTATTTCTGCGGAATGTCAGCTGGTAAGTATATACACGTTTGAGCACTTTTTTTTTTCGTCGCGCATTCAAAAACGTATACGGTCAAAAGTTAAAAAACCGAATTGGCGAACCTTGCATCCAGTCACGCAAACTTTGAAACAGAGAAACAGGATGATTCTCGAAACTAATCTGGTTGTTGTTTTTTTTTTGGTTGTTTTAGACATTCACTAGGCGATACAGGTTCTACGTAGCGCCTAGGTTTATTGTTGTTAGGCTTTAGTTTATGTGATACAAGGTTGCATTTGCGTTGACTCACAGCGCGGAGACGTACGGGTCTAAAACGACACGCAATCACCGACATGACACGGTTGTCTTAACTCCTGGTACAGTACTCGCGCTGGAAACTAAGCATTTGCAAGTTCCATGTTAATATATAAGTGCTGACACGGTTGTCTTAACTCCTGGTACAGTACTCGCGCTGGAAACTAAGCATTTGCAAGTTCCATGTTAATATATAAGTGCTGACACGGTTGTCTTAACTCCTGGTACAGTACTCGCGCTGGAAACTAAGCATTTGCAAGTTCCATGTTAATATATAAGTGCTGACACGGTTGTCTTAACTCCTGGGACAGTACTCGCGCTGGAAACCAAGCATTTGCAAGTTCCATGTTAATATATAAGTGCTAGCTTATATAAGTCGTGCCTACATAAGATGACAGACAGTTTAACAAGGAATCCGACCAACTAGCCCAAATAGTCGTTCTTCTTCAAGCATTAGCAACTCTCATAGATCTACAGGCGTGGGTCTACCATCGCTTAGAGGAGGGGGGGGGCGGGTCTTCTTTTAGACGCTGTTGCTTTTCTCTTTCCCTGCTACTCGCTGTACGTACCCGGGATCTTCGTCTCACCGTCGTCACTTCGCAGCGATTTGTTGGCCGAATTGTTGACTCGATTTTCAGTCGGCTAGTAGTGAGCATTAGAGAGAGAGAACACAAGGAGAAAGGCAGGGAGGTTAACCAGGACTGATCCCCGGTAGGCTACCCTGCACTGGGGAAAGGGAGAGGGGAAGGAAAGGTATAGAGGAGGAGATAAAAGGTCACTGACTGGGCCGACGCGTAACAGTTTCACCATCGCAAAGGATGAAACAGGCCGGTGTCTTTGAGAAAATGCAACAGTGCTTTCGTTGCCTTTCGGAAATTGGACGGGCAGTGCCATAGTCCCAATACTTTCTCGACAGTGAAATCACTTCTGTCCAGTTGATTTTAAACACGGCGCAGGTGGAGCCTCTCGTTTGTGTATGTCGGGCAGTAACATGAGATGTGTTGAATAGTCTCATCGACAGTACAGTCGTTGCACTGCGCGCTGTCGGCCATCCCTATCTTAAATGAGTAGGCATTGGTGAAGGCTACGCCCAGACGCAGACGGCACAACTCTGTACCTTCCTCCCTAGAAAGACCAGAGGGTAGCCGCAGTCGTAGAGATGGATCGAGAGAATATAGTCGATGATGTGCGAACTCTGATGACTTGAAGTGTCATGTCCTGCGCCAGCTTATTTAGGTATCTAGCCGAGTCAATCCTAGAAGAAGGTACGGACACAGGGTTTGCTTGTACGTGTGCATTTCTGGCTGCTTCATCGGCGAGGTCATTGCCGGAGATATCGCAATGACTTGGTATCCACTGGAACACAACGTTGTGTGCGGTCGCATAGTGCAGCATTTCTCTGATCTCCCATACCAGTTCTTCGTAGGACCCACGACGAAGTGCCGACGAAAGACATTGTAGAGCCGCCTTGGAGTCACAGAATACTGCCCATCGATTAGCCGGTTGTTGCTTGATATAATAGATGGCACCTCGCAGGGCAACCATTTCCGAACCAGTCGATGTGCTCACGTGACAAAGTTTGTAAGTTATGTTGATGTGTCGCGATAGAATGACGGGGGCGCTGGTGGAGCTAGTCAGGGTGGTATATCCATCCGTGTATACGTGGATTCTGTCAGCGTAAAAAGTGTGTAAACAGTCGAGAGTCGCTTGCTTCAAGGCGAAGGCAGAAAGGAATTTTCTATTTCTTATTCCTGGGACTGAAAGGCGCACGTCGGGTTGTCGTAGGCTCCACAAGGCGGACGGTGAACGCGCCAAGGGTATAAAACCGGATCGTAGCAAAGCACGTTGGGAGCTGACGACCTTAGAGAATGACGCCTGCGGTCGTTGTTCTGGCAGAAATATCAAGTGGCTCGATACCATCCGTGAAATGTGCCGAATATGTGCTCTCAGCACGTTGGTTGTGACGTAAGTCGTAACCGGATGATCCCGAGCCAATGTTCCAGCGGTTGAGGTAGTTCGTGGTAGGCCGAGACAAACACGTAGTGCCTGTGCTTGCACGCTCTGAAGTGTTTGAATGTTTGTCTTGCAAGTTTTAGAAAGCAGAGGAGAACTGTAGCGCAGTACACCAATAAAAAGTGCTTGGTAAAGCTGTAGCATGGAACTCAATGACGGACCCATCTTTTTTCCAGCGATGACTTTCAGGACGTGGACAATAGATACCAGTTTCGCTTTCAAGCTAGTCACATAAGGGCTCCAGGAGAGGTCGCGATCAACAATGACACCTAGAAAACGATGGCTACACTTGTAAGAGATGAGCTGGCCATTAATGCTTATCGGGTAACTTGTCATCACTTTGCGCGTGAAGGCCACTAGTGCGCATTTTTCCGTTGAGATTTTTAGGCCTTGCGTGCGAAGATAGTCAGATGCTTGCGACGCTGCCCTCTGTATCCCTGCTCGAACTTGTAGGCGTGTCAATGCAGATGCCCAGACACAGGTGTCATCAGCGTATATTGAAACACTGACCGTTTCAGGAAGAGCTTCCGCCAGGCGAAGCAAGGCAAGATTGAAAAGAACTGGGCTTAAAACACCACCTTGCGGGACGCCACGGCACGTGCAGTGGTCTGAGGTGGAGACGCTCCCTGGATTTCGTGCCGACCGGTTGTGCGCCCGCGCGCTCCGCGCGCTCGCGACCTTCGGCGTCATCGTAGCTCTGGCCGACTGGGCTCGCCCTACGTCATCTCCTGTCGCCGACGACCTTCGACGACAGCGCAGCTCTGATTTACTGGTCCTGCTCTACGACATCTACAGACGCCGACATCTCTCGCAAGTGTACCCCGTCCTCGGACTCCAGTGACCGTGCTTCCATCTTTCCTGTCTCTCCTATCCCCTCAGTTTGTTGTTGCTTCTTCTTCCTCTTTCCTATACCTTTACTTCTACCCTTTTATCCCTCCTTACCCCCATCCCTTTGTGAGCTCTGTGGCGGTGTCGCTCACTGAAGCAGACAATAACGGGGCTCACTTTTCTCTTCCTTTCTCTTAAGAACCACTTCAGTGGTCTGAGGTCGGGCCATCTTCAGTATATACAAAACAGGATCTTCGTGTCAGGTAGCTTCGGATCCATCGAAGCATTCGCCCTCCCAGTTCAATTAACAGCAGTGCGTCTAGTATAGCTTGATGGGAAACGTTGTCATATACACATTTCAAAGCAAGAAAGAGCACAAGTGCTAGTAGTTTCCCAAATTTCTGCTCTTCTACTGATGACACCAAATCGATGACGTTGTCAATCGATGAACGGCCTCGTCGAAATCCCGCCATGGAGTCGAGGTAAATGTTGTGCCGTTCAAAGAACCATTCCCTGGTACGTGAGAATCATGCGCTCCATGAGTTTCCCAACGCAGCTGGCGAGAACTACAGGCCGGTATGATGTCAGCACCAGAGGGGATTTCCCTGCTTTTAGAAGTGGCACAAGACGGCTCCGTTTCCATTCTTGAGGTACGATGCTATCTTCCCATGACCGATTAAATAAATTTAGCAGTTGTCGTCTAGCTGCTTGGCCTAAGTGACGCAGAGTCGTATACGTTATCCCATCGGGCCCTGGTGAAGAAGAACGCCTACAGGGAGCATTGGGATTTGCCCTATTTCCGTGGCAAATACCTGCTTACGATGGTCACGGTGTTTGGGGAGGTCACATAGTGGCACACACACGTTAAGACTACGAGTATGGTGGTTTTATGCGATCAACTTACAAGGAATAATTTGCTAAACAGTTTCACTATTGAAAACAGCCAAGTTAGCAACAAACTCAGCTCTACCAGTTTCAACGCGTGCTTTTTTTTTCTTTCATTATATTTGAACACCCACCAGGGAACTTCCAATCTTTACGACTGTAGTCACAAAACCCCGGTAGTTTTGATAATTTAGACTACGGCCGCATTTTGTAATGTCGGATACGTATCACAAAGGTGTAGTAGCATGCTACACAACACAAAGTTGTTCTAATGTTGGATACGTATCGAAAACGTGTGGTAATATGCTACACAACGCCAAGTTGTCCTAATGGTGGATACGCGTCACAAACGTGTGGTAGTACGCTACGCAGCGCAGAGTTAATCGTTATAATGTCGGATACTTATTCCAAAGACGCAGTATGATACACAACGGAAGGCTAGAAAATTTTATAGTTCAAGACCTCGGTAAACATGAAGGCATCTTAAAGTAGTTATAACACCTCGTTTTCCTATTTATTTTCAGCGATTTGCTGTACAACTTCGCTGGTCTCCGACTCGTGCTGGGCTGGGCTGGCCGTGCATCAGCGGAGTTCCGAAATGCCTCGTTCAATCTGACTAAAGCATCTAAAGGCATCGTGACCGACAACGAGAGATGGGAAAAGTGCGTCGACACGATGAACGCCATGATGCCAGAGATTGTTGGCTACCTTTACGTCCAACACAAGTTCAGCGAACAAGCCAAGAAAGAGGTAAGATGTCCGACATAATAAGCAACCATATCAGGCAAGTTGGTATGAATACATTTTGATAGGAAGCGCACAACTTTTACACAAGCTCCACCGCGGTGGTCTAGTGGCTAACGTACCCGGCTGCTCACCCGCAGGTCGCGGGATCGAATCCCGGCTGCGGCGGCTGCATTTCCGATGGAGGCGGAAATGTCGTAGGCCCGTGTGCTCAGATTTGGGCGCACGTTAAATAACACCAGGTGGTCGAAATTTCCGGAGCCCTCCACTACGGCGTCTCTCATGATCATATGGTGGTTTTGGGACGTTAAAAATCAAATATGAATCAATCAATCAACTTTTACACAAGAGAAGAGACGCAAGCGCTTGAGCATAAATGAATCACAACACAATGAAGTACAAAAGGCTACCGATGGTCACTTGGCTGTCCGCTGCAGAGTTGCCACTTACTTTCGAGTGAAATTCGCCAAACGACGAGCGAAATGGCGCCAAAAGTCGCCATTTTTCTTCAAATCTCGCCCCCTCAAAAAAACAATGTCACCTCTGTACATATGTGGCGTGCCCAGTGATAAAAATTCCAAATTATGTATAGCCCCCTGGAGTACGGTACTATCCGTAAAACCTAAGTTATATTGACATTTCTTAATACTAGCCACATTACCTTCCCAATGAGACCACTGAGAAAGAGGCATGCATGCACTAGCAGCGTCCCTCAATGCTAGCGCCTCGTAACAAAAGTTTGTGAAGGTTTCAGTTGTAGCGAATACAGAATGGAGCAGTCGGTACAACATGAGAGGGACATCGTGCGTATCCTTCCTGTATATTTAGGAGAATTTTACTGCAGTCAAATCATGAGTCCAATAATCGAAGAACCTAGTTACAAAGCGACGGAAATAAATTCGAAAGCACGTCGCAATGCCCACACCACGCTTTCATCGTGGTCGCAAGCTTACGCTATAAATTCGCGTCACTAGTTTCTAAAGGCTGCTCGAGGGAGCCCGAGCTCTTGGCCTACCCAATTAGAAATTTAAACTCAGCATACGAAATTCCGGGGGTACTACAGCACTGAAAAGGACGACAAGCTATTCACGACAGTTGGATCTGCGCTCGGAACACGCGACCTCTAACCGTCCCCAGGCCACTTCAGGCGCAAAACTTTGAAGACGCCTGAAGCTATTAAAGCACCTATAAACATACACCACCACCTCGCGGCGCGCGAAGCAGTCCACTGAACTAAATTGCCGGGAGGTTGCCGGTGGACGCCCTAGTGCGCCAGGATCTAGGTGAATCAGGAGGTACACACGAGGAGCAGGGCATACGTACTAAATTGCGCATATGTGTGCCTTCTACTGATGGGTGTAAAACTAAAAAAAAATAGAAATATTGTCACCCATTCGTTTTGAAGACAGTGAGTATAGAATGCCTAACTTCACAGAGTTTCAACCAACTAGAGGGCACTCTGGCGCTGCGACAGTTCAGCGACCATGGGAATGATCGGTAGTACATACATTTGCCTAGTCTTTGTACTTACAGGCGGCGAATCGTACTTGCGGCTTCGTTTATTGATGTGTTTCGGTTTTGTTTTGAAAGAAAGAACGAACCCTTTTGAACTTAGTGACTTGATTCGATATGGCATGCTTAAAAGAATAAGGTTGTGAAGTGCAAACTTAGTGACTTGATTCGATATGGTATGCTTAAAAGAATAAGGTTGTGAAGTGCAAACGGTGAACATTTCCTAATTTATGTTTTCATGAAAAAAATAGATCCAAGCCACACGAACACACACGGAGCCAGAAGCAGGCCAGAAGTACGAAAATTAGACAAATGTATGTACTACCCATCATTCCCATGCTCGCTGAAGCACCGTGTGCTGCAGCTCCCATAGACACTAGCGCCAGAGTTCCCTCTAGTGTATATTAAGAAACTCTATGCCTAACTCAGTTGAGACCTAAGCCGTAAATCACCAAAAACTTGCCATGTCGCAATCCATGATTTTAGGTCGCCAAGGGCCTCTCAAGTTCGCCAATTTGGCGAGAAGGTATCCACCAGTGGCAACCGCTATCCGCTGCAACGAGTGCGTTTGTGCGCCGTTTCTTGACAACACACGGGTTTTATATCGTGAGAGAGATCTATTAACCCATTCGCGCGTCGGCCCAGTCAGTGACCTTTTCTCTCCTCCTCTATAACTTTCCTTCCCCTCTCCTCTTCCCCAGTGCAGGGTAGCCTACCGGGGCTCAACCCTGGTTAACCGCCCTGCCTTTCTCCTTGTGTTCTCTCTCTCTCTCTCTTGATTGTCGAAGCCGCGGAAATGACACGTGACGACTAAGTGTGGCAGCGCATGCGTCTTCCATCTCGCTAACACGAAAAAAAAAACAACTTAGTTTTTTGGCTGGTGTGATTGATAATAATGGATGAGTAATGTATGGCACGGCATGTGGACTTGTGATTGTTTGTTCTACCTTTTGCTTTTCGCGGTTGTTGTTTTTATTTCTTTCACACCTATATATATTCGAACGTTCTGCAATAAACGTTTAGTTGAGTTATAAGCGCTTGTGTCTCTTCAAAAGTTGTGCGCTCCTTACCAAGAGAGGTCGGACAGTTTACAAACGTTTGGCTACGAGGCTCTAATGAGGCTGCATTATCAACGAGTGGTGTTCAAAACATAGCGGTCATGACACGGCACAGCAGATAACACTACAACTTCCATCGATGTGAGGGAGCATTCGTTCAAACATGCCATGTGAACACCACCTTACTGACTATGTGTACCAACACGCCCGGTCTACTTGCTTATTAAGCTTGTTGACCTTTGCAAGTGGCATTACATGGGAAACAACGCGCAAAACCAATCGCGAGCCGCACGTCGCGGGTTCGAATCCCGGCTGCGGTGACTGCATTTTCGATGCAGACGAAAATGCTGCCGGCCCGTGTGCTCAGATTTAGCGGCACGTTAAAGAACCCCAGGTGGTCGAAATTTCCGAAGCCCTCCGCTATGGCAGCTATCATAATCATATGGTGGTTTTGGGACGTTTAAAGCCCACATATCCATCGATCAATGATAAGGATACGGCCGAAATCCGATTGGTCTCAGCGCATTATGAACAAGAGAACTTGCAAGTGATATAATGCTAACAATAACACGTGGTGTCAAACATTTCGTGTGACACGCAGTGCACTATTATGGCGGTTTGAGTGACGTCACTGCAAGCGTCACTGCATAGGAACGACAACATTAGGGTAGACTTGAATTTCCCCAGCACCCTTTATGCACACTGAAAGGCCGATTCATGCGCACTGAAGATATAACTGTCGAATTTTTGTCACTCTTCAATTTATGATTTTCATTCATCGAGCAGCAAAACAAGCAGTGATTATAACACGCATTTGATAGTCAGTTATCGCAAGTTATTCACAAGTTAATCGCGAGTTAGTGATACCATATAGCCAAGCGTCGAAATAATTTTTAACCAAACTAAAGACACATTCTTACACACAGCTGGGCAGGTCGGATGGTCAAGACAGCTGACCACAGTACACACAAGAGAAAGAGGACGACACAGAAACGTAAAAACAGACAAAAGACATAGGTGCTGGTATTTTTGCTTGTTATTGCGTCTCTGAATTCTCCTGCTTTCTGATGCGGATGTCGTTACCTATCAATCAAGACGTACTTTGAGGTTTTTCTTGGTACCATAGAGAGTGCACGTGTAAAGAGACGCTAGTAAAAAGAATAACTAAGACTTGGACTCACGGCGCACAAAACTTTGTCAACACGACACTGAAACTTTCAAGGTTGCCCAGCCTCTCTACCCTTCTCTATCACTTGTGAGCGAAGCTAACCAACCTAGCGAAAATCTACGTCACTGTGCCAACAAAAATCAGTCATGTCGTAATTGTATGTTATCGCAGGTAGAAGACATCGTCGAGAGGATCAGGACGATATTCAACGAAACTTTAATTCAGAGCGACTGGATGGATAATTACACCAGGTCCGCCGCAGAAGACAAGGTAGAGTGCAAATATTCTGCATTCTCTGAAATTCCAGAAGATTTTCGAGCCCATTTTGCAACAGTCGTTTCGTATGGTGGCGTTTTCTTCAAAACACTGCTAAACATGTGGTGATTGGCACACTAAATTATCAGGAAAATACAAAGACATTAGAACTCGGCTCTTAAGCAACCGTTCCTGGCAGGCAAATTAATATCGGGAAAGGATACCCAGAAACCATTGGCATTTTAACCAGGGCCCTCTGCGTGGCAGTCGGGTATTCTACCACAAAGCCACGATGGTGCCTGAAGCTCAATTGGAAAAAAGACTACATAAAGTCGCCATGTCGGCCAATGAATCGCATAACCAATGTAGCATATAGCGTGGCAAAAGAGTAAAGCAACAGCCACTAATTAAACAGTGCTAATTCTGATACGTGTGCTTGGTGGAACGCCTTCTAATTAGTTATTTCATACCATCATATAATGTCAACGGCAACACTTGCGAAGAGTGTCCTACGATGTAATTTTTTTTTTCCTTCTGAAGTTGGTGAAGTACGAACCGTGACCGTCATAATTTCCGGTGGCTTCAACGCTGCTCCATTAAAAAGCCAACAACGTTCGGTTCTTGCACTACCTCGTTTTTTTTTTATTTTGACAGGCGATCACAAGACCCCATTTTCACGTCTTAGACATGAAGCATGATTGACCATTTCTTCGCAAGACGTATCCACGATTTCCAAAGGGCTGTGTAGATAGAGAAGGGGACGAACTTCATAAAATGCCATTTGTGCTGTCACGTGATGCCAGTGATATGTGCAGTACGGTCCCCTGTTAAAGGGAACACCCGAATGCACACAATGAATATTCCTGGCCTTCTAAGAGCAAGTGGATTGAGAAACAATGTTCATGCAAGTCAATAGTCTGTCAAGAGGAGTCGGAAGTTTTACCCACCAGTAGTCTTATGCACATCTAAGCCACTATGATTCCGTAAGATAGCGAAATCTAAACATGCTGCTCACGCAGGTGTTTTCTTTAACAATGGACCCGTACAACGCCTTGAAGTGCGATATCGTTCTCTTTAACACAACGACTATACCGTGAGCGATCGCACGTCATGACCGCATCAAGTCGTTAAAAAATCTGGCCACTGAAGGTAATGTTGGCTCTGATGTGAGCTTTCGAGTCAAAATTACGCTGATATGACACAAACTGTCGACGCTGGGCACTACTTACTTAAATTCATTAGCTAAGTGCATTACTTAACCCTACGTTTACACCTCTCACTGCGTGAGTACTGTACATTAGCGATTGTTTCTTTGAATACGGTTTGTTGGAAGTTAGTGCTACTTCTATCCACGGTGTCTGCTCACGCAGTTGGCCAATATATATATCATCCTTCAATGTTCTGCGATTCCCGCACTAACTTCTAAAACTCGACCAGGCCACAAAACCAGACTTTTCATCGACCGTAGGGAGCAGTCATCTTTTGTATAGAGAGATGCAAATCAGGCGGAGCAAACGTCCACATGCGTTCAATTCTGCTCTTATCGCATGCCCGCCTCCAGTATTCGCTTCTCCATCAGATTAGACGAAACCGATTACAAACTCCATGTTGTGGCAGGGCCTAGAGATAACTACATGCATTATGTATACGGTGTACTCCTGTTTGACCACTGTGCAGCTGCCCAGTGTATGTGGTGGCCAGGTTCCCCGCAAGCTGCTCAATGCAGCTTTTTTGCCTGGCGATCTTCGCAATCTTGTTGTCACTTAATTCATTGCTGTTATGATAAGCTTGGTTGCATTATTGTTGTACGTGTGTGATGATTGGATTATTGTATGCTGTGTGATGCTTAGCTTAATTGCCTTACTGCCTGTACCATTCCTGCTTGGGCTCCATGCCTGCAGTATCTTGTAAATAAATAAATAAATAAATAAATAAATAAATAAATAAATAAATAAATAAATAAATAAATAAATAAATAAATAAATAAACCTAATTCATTTCATTCACTGAAGTCAAGAACATGTCTCGTTGCTCAGTGCACTGCACTCGGAAGCGCAACTCAATAAATAAGCGTCTTTTCGCCGTCAAAGTACAGTGTACTGGTCAAAGACCCCGATTCAGCCAATGGCATCACGGCCGCTCTAAGACACGCTTTGTGGCAGGCTGCTTTGCGATTCCTTTCGTGAGCGCGGAGAAAAACGTGGCCGGCCATGACGTCATCATGACGTCATGGCCGGTGACGCCACTGACTAGAGGGGGATTCCTTTGACGACTGAAAGCTGCTTTTTTCTTTGTTAGTTGTATCCGAGTATTGTAAATTAATGTCTACTCCGAAAACACGTGCATCATGCATTCGAAGCGCACGCATACTGCACAACAATCTTCCTTTGCTTTCTTCCGTATCATTTTTTGGGCGTGGGAAAAATCTGTAATGGCTATCTTCGTTAATGAAGCATCATGTCTCGCTGGCAAGACGCACGTGAACTGCCGTGCACCTGTTATCAAGGCACCGAAAGGCGACCACGGAATGTAATTGATATTAGGTAATAGGACTGCACCACGGGGTTCGCAAGGCTTTTTAATTGACAGCTTAAAAAAGGGACGTCTCGTCTTAGTCGTTGTTACCATATTTTTCAGTTGAAGCAGATGATTTCAAAAATCGGATACCCAACATGGCTTCTCAACACGACATATCTCGACCAGCTATACAAATACGTAAGTACTCATTTAAATGTCAATCAAATTATCTTATTTATAAGGTTATTCAACACTATCACGAATTATTTGGCAAATATTTTGCATAGCCGATGGTATAAACTGAATGGCTAATAATTATTTTGAATGAAAGCTGGCAATGAGCCCTCGTTGAGAACCAGCTATAATACTATGATTTACACTGCCCAAGTGTTACGTATTTGTAAATAATCTCGAAGCGGCAGTGAAGTGAACTTTTCATTGAATGAACTGATATTATGCCATGTTCATTTCATGTATGCGAGCGCCCTGCTTGAAGTATTCGCCGCTTCGTATATGCTATCCCCGACTCGGGAAAAAAAAAATCCACCACCTGATTTTCCACAGGAATATTATTGTGTTGCGTGAAGTAAAATGTGGTGTAACGCAAAATTATTTATTTTTCCTGCTGTTAAAAGTTCGCTACTATTCACAAGACAGTCTTGTACAAATAAATATGAAAGTCGAAAAAGACAGCCACCGGCATTACACTCCGCTCTGTTGCACTTTAAGCGAAAACACACCAAGTTAAATGTTGTGATCATTTGTACGGCAAACGTTTGGAAACACAGTGCAATCACGGCGTGATCAGATAAGTCACGTGATTTTTTTATTGTGCTTCGCGGGCATAAAAAAAGCTTGCACTAATGATTAATTACAGACTTTGTGGTTATCTATATAAAATTATAGCCTGTCTACACGGGTGTTTTCTGAGCTGTCTTACAACTGCTTAGTTAGAATATTCACCAAACTTTACTGTTCCCACAATTGGTTAATTAATCTTGCTAACAAAAGAACTAAGTAAAACACAAAAAATACTGCAGTTTACTCTAAGAGTCAGCCTTATTCATTCCATCATGGTGCGTTAGAGCACGTCCATATATCGTGATGATGATGATTTGTGGGGTTTAACGTCCCAAAACCACCATATGATTGAGAGACGCCGTAGTGAAGGGCTCCGGAAATTTCGACCACCTGAGGTTCTTTAACGTGCACCCAAATCTGAGCACACGGGCCTACAGCATTTCCGCCTCCATCGAAAATGCAGCCGCCGCAGCCGGGATTCGATCCCGCGACCTGCGGGTCAGCAGCCACGTACCTTAGCCACTAGACCCCCGCGGCGGGGCCCCTACATCATGAAACTCCGGCTGAAGTTAGCGGGAAAACCCTGCACGCAGACGGAGGAATTGCCTATACGCGGCCTCGGCTTTATCACAATCCACTGTAAAAATGACGTGCATCTGACCCGACTACGTAATGTCAATATTAGACGAGAACCTTTGTGTCTAAGCAGTGCGAAAGTGGTGCTACAGAATGACGTGGTACAGTGTGGGTATCAATTCATACAGTGTGGGTATCGATTCATTTCATACTCGCCGCTGCTACCACGTGATAATCACCATGTCTGAGTGAGTGTGCTTTTATTTTTTGTTAGAGTAATACTCTGAACCAATGTTTAACATTACAGGTTCCAGACCTAAACATCAGCAGTTCCTTCTTGGAGATGGCCAGTCACATAAGTTCAAATAACTGGAAGCGGGAAATGTCCCACTTGAGAAAAGAATACGACGCAAAATCCGTGTAAGAATGGGAAATCTTTACATATATCGTTACCTCTCTTTACATCAGACGTTTATTTGATCAAATTGATCTTTTTTTTTTTTTGCTCGAGGGCATTCACAGCCCCTTGTTTCGCGACATACAAATTCTGTTGTCTTGTTTATACTACGTATACTGGTGTTGTGGGCCCAGCGGCAACTTTCTTTCGGCAAGGTCATGAGCTGCGCAGGCCCCTTAACGAGAGCAAGTGGTTGGGAGCATGTGCAAAGCAGCTCTTAGCATATATATCACAGCCTTGTATACACTATTTTACGAATCAGCTTCAGTGTCGCCGTGCTGGGCTGTTAACCTTCATGTTTTGCATAGCTAAAACAACAGTGTTACGGTCGACGCCAATGCATGACAACCACTGAATTGCGCGCATACGACGTTTCGTGGCCTTATCGATAAATTCACATCGCGGTATACAAAAACGAGAAAGCATCGGCTTATACCAACCCAACATGGTGGCGCCCGCATGTCTTGGGTGAGTGAGTGAAACAACTTTATTGACGATCCGGCATAAAGGGGGAAGGGGGATTAAAGCGAGACACTAGCGTGCTCGGACGTCCCGGAGCAGCAACCTACTCGCGTCAAACCCGTGGGGGCGCCGCTTTCGGCCGCTGGCGTTCCAGGATGCTAAGCACGTGCTGGACCACGTCTCTTTGGTCGCCTGGCTCTCGGCTGATGATTTTGCTGCTTATGGCAGTTGGGCATTACTTCTTGGTTACCCGGCGGTGGTGCACAGTCCCAGAGGAGGTGTCTCTGGGTGGCTCGCGCCTTCTTGCAGTGTTGGCATACATCAGTGGTGTAAACCTCCGGGCAAACGTGCTTTGCCCAGACGGGGGTCCATATGGCTTGTACTTGCAACTGCCGTAAAATAGTCTAAAGCAAGGAGGGGGAAAAGAAGTGAGTGTGAGGAGGGTTGTCGTGGGGGTGAAGAGGTAAGAAAGGAAGAGGGAGGGCACACCACAGCACAGCCAGCCTTGTAACTAGACTCAAAGAGCGAGAGAAACAGCGTCTTTTTGTCCGACAACAATAATCGTAATCTATCTTGCTTTTCTTTCGTTTCACTATCACTCCCCCCCCCCCCCCGGCACTTTCAAGTCATGAACCGCATGCGCGTTATCAGCGTGAAAATGCTTTCCTGATAGGAAAGTGACCAGCACCGAGCTTTCAAAAAAGAAACCGCAAGCAAGCCGGAATGATGATTATTGTTGAAAAAAAAAAGACCGTTTTACTCAATATTTTTTTCCAGTGTATAGCGGGGGTGGAAAAAGAACCTGTGAGTAAGGAGGAGGCAGACATGAGGAAACAAAAATAAGCATAGCGTAGCCATGCGTAGTATAGTATAGTATAGCACTCAGGCGGGGGAAAAAAATGAAAGTGAGGAGAACGAAAACGAGGAATGGCAGGCCACCAACTTGACCGTTTCCTCAGTCTTTGCACAACTATAACGCGTAGCTCCTCCACTTTTATACAGCGAAAGCAGTTATGAGACGCCGTAGTTGTTCGCCGCCGTCACCGTCACTGTCCGTAACCATTATCACACGGGGAGGGGGTAAACAACAAAATGGAAGGCAGGGAGGTTAACCAGCCACATGCCCGGTTTGCTACCCTACGCTGGGGGAATAGGAAGGGGGCGTAAAGATGAGAGAGAGAGAGAGGAAAGAGAAAAGAAAGACAGAGAGAGAGAGAGAAAGAGAAAGGAGGATTGTCAGTCAATCGGCTGGCGTTATCACACGAAAATTAATAAAACAACCGAGGACAGAATGAGATTCGAGTCCGCGCTTTTTTTTCCTGGCGGCACCCCAATATTTCACCGCTGCGCCACAGCGGTCTTCGAGACTTCATTTCAAGCTGACTCTATGCAGGCTTCATGTCCGGAAAGAAATCGCCCTACTACGTGTACTAAATAGTGCAAAAAAATCTGATTTATGGTGTGGAGGGTACCATGCAAGTTTACTTACAATAGTTGCGCCCCCCCCCCCCCCCCCCACTAAGAGTGTTTAAAAATGCTGCAGAAAGGACGCTTTTCTACCTTTTGCTATGAGTTGATTGATATGTGGGGTTTAACGTCCCAAAACCACTATATGATTATGAGAGACGCCGTAGTGGAGGGCTCCGGAAATTTCGACCACCTGGGGTTCTTTAACGTGCACCCAAATCTGACTTTTGCTATGAGTTTGGAGCGCGTTCGGTGCTAAACTGCAGTTTTTTTTCTTTCTTTTTTAGAGGACCTGTTGCCCATCATTATTGCTACAGAAAAAAAAAACACTAACAAACTCTGTAAAGGACCCCAGGCACCATAAGTGAAATTTCGAGATGTTTGCGTTCTTCGATTGCCCTGTATGCCAGGGCATTACTGACAGAATATCAGAGGCTAACGTTGCTTCGCCGATATTTAAATTTGGTTATAAAGTGAGCTTCAGTGCTCACCTGAGTTGGCAGGGCCTCGCGACGACGCCCCTATAGTATTACGTACACTAGGGCCAGCGTGAAGTTCCTCGAGTAAAGCGAGCCACTGTTGTCGACGTGATAGAAGATTCGCGGGGCACGCACGATTCCCCGCAAATGGCAAAGACTGGCACTAACATGCGGTGAGTCTTATATCATATTCGAACAGCGCAAGACTACGAGCAGTTACGACGTAACTACTCGTAGTCTTGCGCTGTGCAAGTATGTTGATTCCCGATCACCAACTAGCCCAAGCATCTGTCTTATCGAGTCTTATATCATATTTGCACAGCGCAAAACTACGAGCAGTTACGACGTAACTACTCGTAGTCTCGCGCTGTGCAAGTATGTTGATTCCCGATCACCAACTAGCCCAAGCATCTGTATTATCGAGTCTTATATCATATTTGCACAGCGCAAAACTACGAGCAGTTACGACGTAACTACTCGTAGTCTCGCGCTGTGCAAGTATGTTGATTCCCGATCACCAACTAGCCCAAGCATCTGTCTTATCGAGTCTTATATCGCCCCTCTCGCCCTGATGACCAGCTGCTCTCAAAGTGGCTTTGGGCTGTTCACGCCAGGAATGCTTTCATTTTCTCTGAGAGGGCACGCTCAACAGTCTTTACTCATATCGAAGCACTCACTCTCCGTCTCACTGCCATGGTCACCGGCGGGATTCTTTCTTGAGGGGTGCAAATCAGTGTTGCATCGCGGCTCGGGATGCTTGAGTGGGGCAAGTGCCCCTTTTGCACCGACCCCCCCCCCCCCTTCCAACGCCCCTGCCCGCATTGCTGTGCGCACCAGGTTTCATAATTTCGGTGTTAACGTCACCCAAGCTGGAGCGCACACAACGTTAGGTTCTCCCCCTGTGTGGGGGCGCTAGCTTCTTACCATTTTAGGTGGGTGTTTCGAAGCGACTCAAAAAGCACTCACAATTAGCTCAGCAAGTTTCATTCCATACGATATGTTGCATCATTTACGACTCAATATCATAATTGCATAACGCAAGGCTACAAATTACAGCGAAACGTGACAAGCAAGAATTTCGCTTTTAGGGTCCCTCCAAGTCCAGTACTGTTTCGAGCGAAGCGCCCCCCCCCCCCCTTCCCCCCATATGATGACCAAAAAAAAAATTCAAAACGCTGCCGCCAATGTTTGCCAAACGCGCTTAAGGTGTCACCAATCTCTTACTTTCTGCTTTTAGTGGGCTAAAAATTACGTTTGAACAGTCATTAACACAAATACATGCTTCTTTTTCTCTATACTCGTCGACTGCAGTTGGATCGTGGGACCAGCGATTGTGAACGCCTTCTACAATCCATCTGCCAACGAGATGGGTAAGAGCGTATTCACAGAGATTTAGTATATTTTCCAAACTATGCGTTCCTAATTTTTTCCTGCATCGCTGATGTCATTATATGTACTTACCTCACCTGCGAACAGATTTATTACGCGATAAAGTAAACGCCATGTCCACTTGTAACTGTAGCGATGAATGGGGCGTCAACTCGTTCATCATTCATTTTGTGAGCTCATATTTAGCCGACTAAGCCTGCAGTCACAGCCATGAAATATTGCCAATCGGGATTGAACCCAGAAAGCTTCAAGAAACCAGTATTAAGGGTACCTTTAAGCAATTTTAAACTTCATGCAATATCAAGAGTCCGAAAGATCTCATAACGTATATCATTGGGCAAGGGTTCGAAACAATTATAGTGCACGATTACTTAACTGAACCAAGTACCATGTATTATATTTTGTTTTTTTTTAGTGTACCCCTCGGGAATACTGCAAGGCGTGTTTTATCAGTACGGGCTTCCACGGTAAGTCACGAAACGCTATTTAATATTTTTCGTTAAGGAATACTGAAATGTTTTGCCGCCAATATTTTTAGCCAAAACGAATGGTTGGGTGCCATAGCTGGTTGACACATGTCTTTGTTTTCAGTTAGAAGCTGCGTAATAACGTACTTGGAGCATTTTTTAAAGCTAAATGTATAGCGGTATAGCGTCGTAAACGAGAGGAAGTGAAGTTATTTTCGCCAGAAACTATAGTGCACCGAATGTGTTTCCGGCTATCGATGCACGAGGGCTGCTGCCATTGGAAGCACGGGTAGTGAATCACTGCCACCGGATGCGCATGCATGGTTACTACACTGCAAATCATTTCACACCCTTAAGGGTGGATTTTTGAATAAATCACCCATCTTACACCTATTATTTCTGCCAAACTTATCCGCATGGGTGTAATTTCTGCAATTCCACCTTTTGTACGCCCATTTCTCATTTTTAGGTGTATTGTAGGTATATGTTAGCAAATTACACCCAAGGGTGTTTCCTTGAACGTTACACCTATCATATATGCATATAGTTTAGAGCATCAATACATATCACATCTCAACGGATGCAATCAAACCGCATGCCAAAAGTCTGGTGAAAAGATCGATGTCGCGGCATTCGTTTTCATTTCCCATAACTCATTCGCCAAAATATATCGTGCTATGTATTATATTTATTAAACCACCCCCTATTTATTATATTCAGAAGATTCCTCACATGTTCAATGACTTAATTCATGGGTTAACTTTTTGGGATTCCTACTAAAAATATTTTGCTGCCGCTTATGTCCATTCTTCCCTAATTCTCACAGAGACATCAGTAAATGAGATTATGTTGCACTTAAACATAACATGAAACGATTACACACGGTTTTCGACAGGCTATCGTGCGCGCTTTCTTATTTGAAATCACACTAAGTTTTTTGTACCAGAGGTCCTGATTCATTAAAGACGATAGTCTTTTTTGGGGGACCTTCAACGCAAAAATTTTGGTCTGTCTGTCTGTCTGTCTGTCTGTCTGTCTGTCTGTCTGTCTGTCTGTCTGTCTGTCCTTACATTTGTCGGTTTGTCCATTCTATATGGCATCTGGTACTTGAAATGGCCGACCTCATCCGCAGCGCTCACCAGTGTTGCTCAAGATTGAGCGTTCATGCTTGTGCAATCGTCAATTAAAAAGCCATGATTGCGCATGTCTGTGGCACCATAACAACACGTATATATTCTGCATGCGCGTCTTTTACTAGAAAAAGCATACATTAGTAATATTAAGGGCCGTAGCGCTTATCCCGCTGCGCTGACCATGCAATGCTTGCACGGAACAGGGGGCGTTTCCAACGCTTCGTAAGGTGGTGGAATCTACCCGTCGCCTTGCGTTCTACACCTTATCACCTCTAAGATGGGTGGGCACACCCCTACTAAAGCCACACGCTTTGTTTTCTAGGAAGACTGCCAGATGGCGCTCATGTGTCACGTGTGACATGATTAAATGTTCTTTTTCGCCTTAGCTGTACGCTCGAGGCACTCAAACGCAGTGCCTACAGAATACCACTCACCGACTTTCTTGCGCAGAACACCAAATAAATGTCCTGTTCACTCTCTCCACACGCAAGACTATCGTCTTTTGACGACATTTGCAGAAACATGGAGATACGGCGCCAATTTTTTACAATGGGGGTCCATATATTTCCTCACACTGAAGTATTTCGCATCAATACACGGGTCCCTGATTTATTCAGTGAGTTATATTTAGATCTATGAACATGGGTCAGTTCAAATTGAATGTTTGTAGTATTCGCATTGCCACGGAACTAGGTATGTTTGCAATTAACAGGCTAAGCTTACTCGGATGCAGCTGCTGTGCACGCATGCTGCGCCGCAGGACAAGCTTGGCGCACATACGCTAAGCACGGGTGAACTCTTCCAATGGGTCGCACCACTCTGTGGGCACTTAGTGCTCTTTTTATATTTACTTGAAATGCACGCTTGCGCGTCGTATAATATACACGTGAACGATCGTAGACAACACTAGCGCAATGTACCCGTGCCACAAAGAAGGAGAGTAGTTTACTAATTGCAGCATTATAATTGAAAGTTGTTACTGTCGCGTTACAATGCACTGATAATCGCACATTGGTATGCTCACACAAAATTTAAGGCTTGAAATAAAAGCAAGCGTCCTTCATACTTTGTCGGTAAAAAAAGCAAAGCCCCCGGTTCTTGCTGATTGGCAGAGCGTTATTTAAAAGAAGCTAATAGCACAGCAGGGGTGTTGCTAGGATTTATGCGTGCAAGGGAACAGAAAGAGGAAAAAAGGGGGCCTGGCGCAATTTGTATGTAAATTTTTGCCTGTAGTTGCATACGTGCGGATCCGAATCGCAAGCTTTTTTTTTTTTTTTGCGAAATGGGCCAAATCCTGACCCGAAAGTAGCTCAAATGACACTCAATTGGCTCATATATACGTTCACGTTTCCTCTAAAACAGTAATATTAAAACATTATTTATAAATATTACTCTTCTAGAAGAACGTTGATAGTATGTATATGTCAAGGCAGCGTTAGTTGAGCTTGTTTCGGTTCTAGATTTGCCCCATTTTGAATTAAAAATTATCTCCTCAAACGAACATAAAAAAGGGTGGGAGATGTGTCAAATATGGAACAACCTCCTTGCCACCCTTCCCTAACTTTTTATTTATATCTATGTTCCGCAAGTAACAAATTTTGACTCCGAAATGTCGAAACAACGCAGCAATAACGCCTCACCCGGGAAAAAAAATGTACATTACGAAGGCTACGCATTTGCCACCTGCACACGTCAGTGGAAAAAAAAAGACTTTGAAGCTCTGCTAGCAAATAAATATGTTGTCAAGCATGAAATATTACACTATATCTTGGAGGCTTGACATAGCTTGGAAATTGTATCATAAAACGGTACTGCTATGTGTTTCGGTTTCGGTTTCGGTTTTGAGGTCTCGGGGCAACTGCGCATCGCCATCGTCAACAGGCAGACTTTGAATTGGGTGGTACCATGTCGTGTGCGTGTTTGCTGCAGGCTGACGGTGGTTTATTAATTTACTATTCACTTGCTTTGTCAGGGACGCGTACTTATACGGCTTGCACAGTTTAACTTGTGCTTACAGTGGATACAGTATGTGTCACTGCAATCTGTGGCGTGTCGGCTAGTACAGAACAACTTCGGTGCGGCGGAGTGTGTGTCCTCTGTCAACGGCTTTCGTTGAAGCTTGTGCCCGCCGCAAGCAGAGTGTTTACGATCAAGCAACCAACGGACTGTACGCTGAGAGCTACATGGAGAACGCTTTTGGATTTCGTGCTATTGCTGAAAAGGTAAGCTTTCGTGTATGCGAACAACGAAGTGCAGAAGTGCGTGCCTGCCTGCCAACTCCCGATTTGCCCGCGATACTCGTAATTGCAGGAAGCGACCGTCTCATGGCGTCGGTAGCTTCGTGACCTTCGCTCGCTGTGTGCTTATCAGCTGCGATGTCTGAACAGTCGCAGTGTTCGTGAACCTCGCTTTGGGGCATGGTTAAAGAAAACGGGGGGATGTGCCCCGCGCAGATAAACCTTACGGCATTCGGCAGCGGGTGAGAAAACAAGGGGGGGGGGGGGGGGGCTGAGCAAGCCGAGGTGGGCGAAAGAAATGGCATAATAATAATAAAAACGAAGCAGATCAACGGTAAAAAAGGCGCCAGTTGTCAGTTAGCGGGACTGCAGTGGACAAATGGGGCGCGTTTATTACGCGGGAGAAAAAAAAATCTAGATTTCAATGACTGAAGATAGGGGTGCGTTTTTAATGCGAGTAAATACGCTATTTAAAGCAACAATTGAAAAATACTTAAACTTTGTATCAGTACCCCTTTGATGCCTGCGCTTTGCAGCGGCATGACGTGTTTTGTTAAAAATCGTGCAGCTAACCAAAGAATTTATATGTACCTTGTTAATTTAGTGATTCGCGCTTTTTATGCCTTGCTTGGTTTGTTTATATTTATACTAGTATATCGTAAATAATCAGGATATAGTAATATTGATCTGCTTTAATAAGGGATTGAACAGCCACACTCAATTGCACACATCTTTTTGCATTTTTGCACCATTGTACTGCGGCACATAGAATATTGTAGGATAGAATATTTCTGTATATTTTGGTGTAGGGTTTTGCGGTGTGGTTACACATGAAAGCTTAGCCAAAGTGTACCAACAAACACGCACACAAAACTTTCAGTTAGACTGATACAGCACAGATGATAATGGTGTAGGCATAGTTAGCCACTAAAGAACACGCTCGCGAAAAACAAAATGAGGATGGCGACACTGGTGGCTGTAAATGAAAGCAGGCAGACCTAACAGCTCTTGTCTGTTTCATGCATTTTGTCTGTGCAGGTTTCATCCTTACGAATGTAAGGACACTGATCGTACTAATAAGCCCTCCATGCATATATTCCTGTTAGCTACTTCTCCAATATGTCGTGCATTTTTTAAATTACACATATTTATGGTCCAACAGTCCAGAGCTTATTGAGCATATATTTAACTTAGTTGTGATATATTATCTGTTGCATGGCTGTTTTTATGAATTAAAAAAATTCAACTGCGAATGAGCTGCTTATGCATGCACTCGAAGAATAGGGTTAGCACGTCTTATTTATTCTTGAGAGTAGTCAGTTTTACTCGTGGCCTAAAGTAATCATTTCGTTGACCAATAAGCAACCTGTGAAAGACATAAAATTATCGAGTACACCAAATTTATGTATCTGGAGAAGAAATTTACAGGTGAGCTTCCGAAAATACACAGTGCTGTTTTTCCACCAGCAGTTGTCATATTGTAAGTGCTGTTGATCCTTCCATATTGGGGCTTGCTCGATGTTTTACACTATTTTCACACAGTAGATTGTACATCTGTGATGTGTACTTGTCTACACAACGATCCTTCAAAGTAAATGATAAATATTTCTACTTTTCTGTCTGAATGGGT